CACGCACACACGCATGCACGCACACACACACACACACACACACACACACCTTAACAATCAACATTGTTTAACTTTGTGTGTGTGTGTGTGTGGTGGGGGGTGGGGGGGGGAACATTAGGTAGTAAAACTAAATAAATAACTGAAAGACAAAAAACTCATTTTGATCATAAAATAACAAAATAAAAAGAAGTTGTATTTAATATGACAGTTCTTGTTCATGCATACTGCAGTCGTTCATAATTTCCTACTGCATGACTTGTATTCATTCAGACACTTAAACTATTTACAGAACAAACTCTTTAAACTCAGAACATGAGTTATTTTTAACTTTTGTGATTAAAAACATTGATTTGAAGCTGTTCTGTAAATAACATTCAAACAGTACGTATAGAAACTTCTGATCAATCTATTTCATTTTCAGACTTAAAACAATGTTCAGATTTAAGCCCCGCCAACTTCTGGTTAAACCACACCCACATCCAGTTTAGGCCCCGCCCACTGCGAGTACAGCTACAGATAATTTAGATGTTGAACAGATACAGATAGTGGTGTACTCGCTCATCCCTACACTAACARCTTGTCTTTGGTAGTCTTGTGATTAATTTGTCTGTTATTCAGTAATATTCAGTAATTAGTCCATGACAACGTGTCAACTGATCACCGTACGGTCGGGTTCAACAGCTCAAAGTTTCTGTTTTCTCTGAACGCCTCCTCCTGTGCTTTGTTTTCAGGTAGGTCCTAAAGGGAAAGTCATAGGGATTGATCACATCAAAGAGCTGGTAGATGATTCTATAAACAACGTGAAGAAAGACGACCCCAGCTTGGTAACATCAGGTCGAGTCAAGCTTCTAGGTAGGTTTCTGCCTGAGTTTTTAAACTGTGTMAAACTACTTCTAAAGCAGATTATATAATCCTGTCACTGGTAGAAAACACATGGTTGTCACACAGACAGTCTGCAGCTCTAAATAATTGAGTAGAGACCAACTTACAGACATCCGGTACTTTCTTAACTTTCAGAAAACACCTGGTATAATAATCTGGTAATACAGATTACTAAAATAATCTGTATTATAGAATGTATTGTAAAATATTACATCTGGAGCTTGTTTCTACCAGTAGGATTTGTCATGAACAGCCTGCTGCTTGGTGCAACACCTGACCTGGTTGGTCCTTGATGCAAGCRGTGGTCAGGGCCAGACTGGGACAATAATCCAGGCCTGGCATTTCATACCATCCCAGGCCACCACCAGTGGTGGATAGTAGTGGAGTACATTTACTTGAGTACTGTACTTAAGTACGTTTTTTGAGTATCTTTACTTTACTTGAGTAATTTTTTGGGGGGATACTTATGACTTTCACTCCGCTACATTTCTAGAAAGCTTGTTAGTTACTTCTTACTTTTGGTTCAGCAGAGTTTTATAATCCACCGGACTCTGAGGATGTTCATAAAGTTGTTCAGTTTTGTAGAGAAAAATCAGATCACAGACACACAAAACTAAAGTCTTTTCTGATGGAAACTTTCAGGATTTAAGAAGAAAAATAATGGCAGTCAGTAATGGTTACTGTTTTAGACCAAGCAGAGGGAAAAATGATGGAATCATGACAAAGAAACAAAACAAGACTCCACATCACCAGGATTTATTATTCTTTCTAACAGCAGCTGTTGGTGCAGTAAATACTGGTGATGTGGAGTCTTGTTTTGTTTCTTTGTCATGATGATGGAAGTATAAAACTTATCGTTAATATACATTAAAAATACATTTACTTACAGTAAATATGCCCCTGGGTGCATTTATTTGGTCCTAGGACTGTTTTTTTAAGAAGTACATACCCAAAGTTGAGTAAAAGAAACCTTTAAAAAGTGAATTTTGCATAATAGGAGTTAATAAGAACTCGTTTAACAACCAGTCCATGCTGATTGGTCCAGATTTTAGACACAGCTGACTGAACAACCAACATCTTTAGCATCATTGTGTGATGATTTACCCTCTTTAAGAGTTTGATAATCCTCTCTTTAATTTCACCTGACATCTGTGGTGTTGGAGCCATGGTCCATGTCAGTCCTGTTGGTGCAACAAGGTGTGATCACTGCTTTTTACCTGCAGACTAACGAGCAGATCTGATCTGATGCAGTGTTAGTTTACAGGCTGATTCCATCATTTTTCTCTGCTTGGTMTAAAAAATTAACTGTTACTGACTAACATTATTATTTTATTTATTTTGGGTTAATGTTTCTTAAAGTCAGAAAGTTTCCATTAGAAATGACGTTAGCTTTGTGTGTCTGTGATCTGATTTTTCCTACAAAATGAAAGAAGTGAACGAGGATCCTCTGAGTCCAGTGATCCCACCCTGTTTCAGGGGTTGTGTGTCGATACATCAGGTGGTTTCTGTAAACTCACTCTGAAAACAACTCAGTAATGTACTGATATTACAAAGTGTAATCTGTCCTTTTGAATACTTGAGYACTTTTAAAGGCATGTACTTTTGAATACTTAAGCATTTTCAAAAGTAAGTACTTCAGTACTTTAACTTGAGTAGATTTTTGACAGAGTAACTTTTACTTGTAGCTGAGTAAATTTGACCCTGAGTATGAATACTTTTACTCAAGTACTGGAGTTGAGTACTTTGTCCAGCACTGGTCAAGGTGAGCACCCTGAATACATGCTGTGTGTCGGAGCAGCTGACTGTGAACATTCAGGAGCTACTTTGACGGTTGATGGTTGAGTGTGGGCGTGTAGAGGCAGAACCTGAGGAGGACCTTGGTCCAAACTGAGGTGAACCTCTGATCTATAAATCTAACAGTTTGAAGGTGTGCACCGCACAGTTTATAAATCAATTTTTTTTAAGCGTCTGTCACTTTCAGCTTTTGGCCGTACGCTCCCTTTCAGTATGATTTCCATGCAATCCTTTTGAAACGAGGCCCCTGGCCATGTCCAGACCCTGCAGCACAGCCAGAACTTGCTGCTGTGTTTTTCTAACTTTATAAAAGTTTTTCTTTATATAAGTACTTGTTGTGACCCAGGAAGACTGGTGTCCTGCAGGAAGAGCTGTCGACTGTTGCTGCTGAGGAGGGTTTGTCTCTGGATGACTGGGTTTCAGATAAAATGTCCCTCTTGTTGTTTCAGTGGGAGACGGGCGGATGGGCTACCCAGAGGAGGCACCGTATGATGCCATCCATGTAGGAGCAGCAGCTGCCTCCGTCCCTCAGGCTGTGAGTCTGTCCACACGCTTCACCTGTCTGATTTAAACAGAGAGCGTCTGAAACATCAAACTGAAGAATGATTTTTGTTTTACTGACAGTCACTTAGTTTGGACAGCTCTCTTTAATGTTGTTAAGGTAACTGAGTGTTATTATCTCTGAGCCCACCCTCCCTCCGTTGGCCTCCTGCAGCTCTTGGACCAGTTGAAGCCCGGCGGTCGGCTGATCCTGCCTGTCGGGCCTGCAGGAGGGAATCAGATGCTGGAACAGTACGACAAGCTGGAGGACGGCAGCACCAGAATGAAGCCCTTGATGGGGGTGATTTATGTGCCTTTAACAGACAAAGACAAGCAGTGGTCCAGGTGGAAGTGACTTCCTTCTCTCCCTCCCCCTCTGTCCTTCTCACAGTGGCACAGGTGAAATGGTGTGGCTTGGAGCAGGCAGGCTGCATCTTGCTGCTTGTTGACATGTTGTTTGCTTCTTCCATACCATACCCACCAGCTGCACGCTTCCTTTTGACCTTTCTTTTCCCGTCCAGTAAAAACGGCCCAACTAATGCAGCTTTGGAAATGATGCACTGATAGTTTGTTTCTTTAAAAAGCATGATTAGGATCAACTGAAAGTCATTTAGCCCAGTCTTTTACGAGATGCCCACACAACCAGCTCCTGTTTGACTTTCATGTCGACTGAACATTGTGCATGTAAAGCTTCAASACGCTGGAGCTTCCTGTTTGTTGCTCTAACATCTGTGTTCTGGTGTTTTCCTCTGCAGGGACGAACTCTGAAGAATGACAAGTTTAAACCTGGAGGAAACTGGGACGGGGGGTGGGCTCACACAAGCCTTGACATTTCACTTAAAGCATAATAAAACTGTTACTGAGGAACTGGAGCATGGACGCAGACGGCCCTGAGAGGCTGCAGGGAAACACTGCTTGAAGCGTAATGCAGAAACACAACATGGACTTTTTGTTTTCAGGCCTTCATGTTTAGTTTTCTGCTTTGTTTTTCTCCTCTTTTGTCTTGTGGTCTGATGTTTTAACACATTTACTTTTCAGCTGGATGAAAGCTGAATGTAGGACAATGATGGAGGCCTGAGCCTTTTACATGATTCACCTGTGTGTGTGTGTGTGTGTGTGTGTGTGTGTGTGTGTCATTAACTGTAGACATTTCTGCTTCAAATATGAGATTTCTTTCCCTGCTGCAGTATTAGAACAGAGCCTGGACACAGTGGTATTAACCCAACACTTCCTGTTTGTTGTGCAGAGCTTTTAGTTCACGTATGGAGGAACACAAAACACACAAACACACGCAGGGTTGTGTTACTGCTGCCAGCTTACAGACTTCATGAGTGACTGACACTAAATGACACGAGACTGCTTTGCCAAAATAAAATTCTAAATAAAGCAACTGAATGTTTGTTTCCTCGGGAAAAAAGCTCCACTTTTTATTTTTGTCATCTTGATGATATTTGGCTTTCACAAACTCTGAAACAACAATAAAGAGATGCTTCTGATTTTTTCTTTGTCTTCTTGTTGTGAGCAGGTTGCAGCTTCAGTCCTACAGGCAGAAATTTAAACMGCCTTCACAGTAAACTAAGCTTTTTTTAGAGAAACTAATAAACAGCCATGATTGTTCAAAACATTTTGATCAGCTCTGAATGAAACAATTTGTAAGAGTTTAAGTGGCAAATTAACATTATGACACTTTGAGAAACATTGAGCCTCAAGCAAGAGTATAACCTCCTGTCAACATAATTATAGTGTGATTTATTTTCAACTAAATGTCTTCAAACTAATGAAATATAAAGTTATTAATGAATAAAATCAGTCTGATAACAGCAGGTAAATAAATATACGACAGGTCTGGACCACTCGTTAATTTTGTGTCTGAAGAAAATCTTAGAAAATGAAAACATTGGTGATAAGTCCTAAATCACTCGTACGCACAACTTAAAAACAGATCTGTGTACGAACAGTTCATGCATGAGACCAAATGTTTTGAAAGAAAGAAATTGTTTTAGCAGATGTGGGATGAAACAGCATTTTGAGCATTTATTTGTCAAAAATAACTAAATGATGATGATAGGGACCGTAGGATAGGATTTGTTTTAATCTAACAAGAAAATAAAACTCAGATCAGTTATTCACAGTCAGATTTTCTCAAACAAAATAAATATTTCTACTCAAACACTTAAATATATCTTAGTAAATCTGAAGCGTTCAGATGATCTGTTCAGGACATGAAGCTAATCCAACACGCTGAGCAGGAAGTTCTGCTTTGATGCACCCAGATCAAACAGGTGTGTGGTTTCTCCACACACACCTGTTGGCCTACAGGTACATGCCGTTGATGAGGTAATCCGACTCCTCCGTTGTGAGGGGTCGAGCTTTCTTCAGTTTGTGACGAACGAGTCGCAGCCGACAGCCGATCATGAGCAGCAGCAGAGCTGTGATGAGAACGCCCAGGACCAGAGGAAGAATCGCTCCTGGACAAAGAAAACGTTTCAACGAGATCTGACCATAAAGAAACCAGACAAATGACTCTCTGTGAGAAAACTCAGCTGAATAACTACTGWAATTATATTATCTGATAAAACATGAACAGAAGCAAAAATTAAAAAAGCAAATTTCAAAGAACAAAAATTTTGAAGGATTTGAAATCTTGATGCATTTCCAAGGGGGAAACTTGTAAAAAAAATATTTTAAAAAGTGTAAAAGTTAAGATGTTAGCATTTAAACGATTGAAACATCACAAATTATACAGAAAAATTATAGACAGGAAACATGCTGACTCGGCAATAAAAGCTACAAATAAATGATGGTTCTGACCTGACTCTGGTTCTGGATGTCCCCCCATAACTGAAAATAGTTTGGAGATGGGGGTCTCATGGTCTGCTTGGCTTTTGGAGACTTTTGGGGCGGCTTCAACAACAACAAATAAACCAGTAAACACTGTAAACTATATACTTTTTATTTATTTATTTATTTTATTTTTGATGGATTTACCTGTCTCAGTCTGTTTGGTGGCTGGAACTGCAGCACTTGCTGGACCTGAAGATGTCATTAAGTGATTTTTAAATCTTTCAGATTTAAAATGAGGCTGAAATAAACCATTCTTACTTTTCTGGATACATTCACTGATGCAGTCAGACTCCTGCAGGAAGTTGTTGTGGTTTCCCTGGCAGCCGCCATACAGGAAGTGTTTGCATTCTCCGGTCTTTTGGTCGTAGTACCACCGTGGGAAAGTGCCTTTACACGGGCCGACCAGCGGAGCTGCAGCACACGGATCTACAGGAGACAAACAACACAGCTGCTGTAATAAACTCACTAAGATGGTTCCTACAGAAGCTAAAGGCCTCGTCACATGTTGTCCAAAAACAGCTAAAATGTAGCTTGAATTTCTTAATAACTGGAGACAGATTCCTCATTAAACTAGTTGGTTAGAGGTTTTTACATTTATTTATAAGATTGATATGTGGATGTTTGGAACTGATTAGAAGCTAATGATGGATGATTGACAGATTTATTTACTGACCTTTATTTAACGGAGAAAATCCCAATTATGAAAACTAATTTCTACCACTTCCTACAAATAAAAGTTACATTTAAATAAGCCTATCACTTTTATACTGGTCAAAATAAATTATTAATCATGCTGTAGATTATGGGGGTACTGGGCCATTTGATACAGGCTGTCAGGTCCTTGTACGACCGGTGTCAGAGTCTGGTCCACATTGCCGGCAGTAAGTCGGGCTCGTTTCCGGTGANTGTGTGTGTGTGTGTGTGTGTGTGTGTGTGTGTGTGTGTGTGTGTGTGTGTCTGCACTACAGCCAGGAAGGGAGGGGGAAAAGGGGAGGTGTCGCAGACTCGCAGCACAGCGCTTCTGCAGACCCACATGTGGGGTAAAAACAGGAGCAGGTAGAGGGTGGAAGGGAGGAAGCAACGCAGCGTACTTTTTTTATTTTTCCTGAAAAAGCTTTGGACACAGCAGCTGCTGCCTCGCTAGTTACTGTCGACAAATGTAGACACACACAAAGGAAAAAAGATGTGTGAATATTAGAGGGGACTGTCYCTGTCCGGCCAAAGTTGGTGGGGACATGTCCACACCAGTTCTTCACAAAGTTACGCTTTGCAGAAATGGTCCAAAAAAGGTAACACATACAAGTGTGCACACACAGGGTCAGACTGAACTGCACACAGGGTTCCTACAGCTTAAAACAAGTTCAATTTAAAACTTTTTAAGGATCTGCAGGAACCCTGAAGAAAGATTTTATGTATCATCATGGCACCACGAGACATTTTACTGTTTCTTTACTTGGCTGATCTTTAGTTAACCAATAAAAATCATTGTGAAGGAACTCCTCTGAGCTAACACAGCCAGTGGTACCTTGGCCAACAGAAGCCTCCTGATCTCTGGGACCTGGAGGAGGAGCAGCCTGGCTCCTGTCCACTGTGGAGATGACAGTCTTTCTGAATCCAGTTGGGACAACGGGGGCATCCTGCTCTGTCTGAACTGCAGGCCTCTGAGGGCTGGGCAGGTCCACAGGGTGGATCACTGACTTCCTGCTGCTATCAACTAGAAAACAAATAAAAAGATGAATCAGAGAGGAAGCTTTGAATCATAGTTCATGTTGTATAAATGTGACCAACCACATCAAACCAAGGATTAAGTCCCAAAATGGAGAAACAGGTAGCTTTAGTGTTTTAGTTGCAACTGTTTATTTTTATCAAAATATAATGAATAAATACCTTATCTATGGGTCGTTTAAATAAAATATCTAAAATACACTATATTGCCAAAAGTATTCACTCACCTGCCTTCACACACATATGAGTTTAAGGTACATCCCATTCCTAACCCTAATCCATAGGGTTCAATAATACGTTGGTCCACTCTCTGCAGCTGGAACAGCTTCAAMTCTTCTGTCCACCAGCTTTAGGAGTGTTTATGGGATGTTTGACCATTCTTCCAGAAGCACATCTGTGAGGTCACATACTGATGTTGGACAGAAGGTCTGGCTCTCAGTCTCTGCTCTAATTCATCACAAAGGTGTTCTRTKGGGTTCAGGTCRGGACTCTGTGAAGACCAGTCCAGTTCATCCACACCAGACTCTGACTTTGTGCTCTGGTGCATTGTCATGTTGGAAAAGGAAGAGGTTAGCTCCAAACTGTTCCCATAAAGTTTGGAGCATGGAATTGTCCAAAATGTCTTGGTCTACTGAAACATTCAGAGGTCCTTTCACTGGAACTGAGGGGCCAAGCCCAGCTGCTGAAAAACAACCCCACACCATGATGCCCCMTCCACCAACCATTACACTTGGTGATGTGTGGCTTGGATGCAGCTGCTGGACCATGGAAACCCATTCGATGAAGCACTCTGCACACTGTTCTTGAGCTAATCTGAAGGTCACATGAAGTTAGGAGGTCTGTAGTGATGGACTCTGCAGAAAGTTGGTGACCTCTTTGCACTATGTGCTGCAGCATCCACTGAGCCCGCTCTGTCAGTTTACCTGATCTACCACGTTGTGGCTGAGTTACGGTTGTTCCTAAACACTTACATCCTCTTATAATACAGCTGACCGCTGACTGGGAAACATTTAGGAGTGAGGAAATGTCACAGCTGGATTTGTTGCACAGATCATCACAGTTCTATGCTGGAGTTCAATGAGCTGCTGAGAGCGACCCTTTCTTTCACAAATGTTGGTAAAAACAGTCTGCATGCCCTGGTGCTTCATTTTATACACCTGTGGCCATGGAAAAGATTGGAACACCTGAGTCTGATCATTTGCATGGGTGAGCAAATTTGTTTGGCAATATAGTGTATAATCAGAAATAATGTTTAAAGCCCTTTTTTGAGGAGCCGTTACACCCTATTTTATTTTTCTTTGCAAGCTCCTGCAAGCTCAACATTTTTTCTCTCCAGCTGGTAAATCTTAAAATCCAAACATTGTTTTAGGTTTCCTCTTTATCTGACCTAAATATTCCTCATTACAATAACACAAAAAAGGATTCAGACCAAATATTAACGAGTTTTTATGATTAGTAAGACAAATCAAGGCCAATGTAAGGATGATCCAGGAATCAAATGTAGCTGAAAAAGCAGGAATCTTTTGGCCAAATTTGATTTAATCCTCAGCTTGATGTGATTAATCGTGAAAAGAAATATGTGAGCCATCCCATGGAAACGAGGATTAAGTCTAAAAGTTGACTGTGGAGAAATAGGCAGATTTAGTGTTTTGATTAAAACACTTGCAAAAATTACATTTTGTCAAAATATAACAAAGAAATGTGTTATCAATGTATCATTTCAATGAACTGTCTGAAATATTATCCTAAAAAAATTGAAGCACTTCTTTGAGCAGTAGCAACCAAAAACCAGATTTTGAGGAAAAACACCTTAAAATGTTGAGATTTTCCCTGTGAGTTAGTAAAGTTTCGTTTCTTTTCAGCTGAGAAATCTCAATATTCAAATACTATTTGAGGTTTCTTTTTCAAATGACATAAGAAAATCCTCATTAAAATGAGATAAAATTAGGATTCAGACCAAATATTTATGTATTATTGTAACCAACAAGACAAATTAAATGATATCTGTGGATCTACTAATGATATCAGGATGGTCTAATTATCAAAATTAGCTTTTAAAGCCAAGAATCTGAAAATATGATGAGGTCACTTTGACCAAATTTGATTTAATCCTCAGCTTGATGTGATGAATTGTGAAAAGAAATATAAACAGTACTATCCCAAATACAACTAACTCCAGTGCATGACAAACAAATCCTACAGTTTGTGCAAAACTCTTCATCCGAGCGGTCCGGACAGTGCTGCCTCCCGTCGCAGGCGTAGGAGATGTCGATACAGCAGCCATCGTCACACTTGAACTGATAGTTGGAGCAGTCACCAGTGCACACTGTGGACATAAAACACACCTTTTTTACCTGACATTTAACACAAACAAACATGCTTTGGTGAGACGGTGACCTTCTGCTTGGTGCTTTGGCACCAGAACAGTGACGGAGACGTTGTCCGAGCTCTTCTGTCCTGCCGTGTCGGTGACCGTCATCTGGAAGGTGTAGACCCCCTCCTGGAGACCACTGACCTTCAGCAGCCCCACATGGGTTGCCTGGAGCAGACGTAAACACAAAATAACTCAAAACATGAGAAACATTTAAAGAAACATGAGAACAAAACACACCCAGTCTTCTCCTGGTTACACTCCTGAAGGTGGTAAGTTGACATCAGATGTAGAACATAACACATTTTTGTTTAGGCTACAGACAGAACACACACACACACACACACACACACACACACACACACACACACACACACAC